TTTCTCATCAAATGCGAGCCCTACATTGAATCATCAAAAGATATCGGGTCGTAAGCGATGAAACCCGAAAAGCGATTTCAATTTTCCATTTACTGGTCCAATCTAAGTTGTGATTGCGCCGGGCGACAATGGGGCGTGGGACGGGGAAATTAGAAAAAACCCGCGACTGAAGAGACGAGGTGGAATCAAATTATCCCAGGTTTGAAACCTGACGAAGAAAACAGCCTCCGAGAAAATATGGAAATGCCTCTGCGAATGACAATCAGCGAGTCTCAAGTCAAGTGTTTCAGTATAAATTAAACAAAAAAGTTTAGTTTTTGTTGAAGGAAGTTCTCTTATACATAATTTTCCATCACCGAGAGACCTTCTCTTATCGGTTTTCTTGTAATTGGACAGCTAAAAGTGGGTTCCGAACCACTAGGTCACATAGTGTTTGGTGATAAACGGGATTTTAACCTTGAACTTCATGACAGAAGTACCGAGGTTGTCCGCATCTGACATACTAATCTTTTTTGTTTTGTTTCAGGTAATTAGAGCTACAATTAAAAGTAAGTGAGTAAAAAATCTATTATATTCAGGACACAACGTTATATTTTAGTCAATATTTTAAATGGACATCGATTAAACATTCCCAAAAAACTCATGGTATAAACAATTGTTTTCGATTCCAGTAAAGTGCTCAACTGAAATTAAAATTTCGTTCAAGCCTAAATATAGGAGGGCAATTAATAAAAATATTGGTATAAAATTTTCAAATTAATTAAATTTAAATTGTGATTGAGTTGATTTGAAAAGGACGACGATGTATTTTTTTTTTTCAAATTGGACTAAATAAAAACCGAAATAGCTTTGTCACTTATTCCAGTCGAGTGGAAAACTCAAGTTGAAGTTGTAATGCTGCTGGGCGAGAGTACCCTGCTCAGTTGTTAATTAAGCAATTCGCTGAACTTAAGGATTGTTAACCGTAGCGAGTTTAATATCGTAATTAAAATATCCGACGATTACATTTGCTACTCATTTATGTCATCACTGAGCCGCTTAATGTTGTAATTAAATTTCCCAAAGAAACGCATTTACAAACTTGACACGAGTGGGAAATAGTTTCAGCGGTGATTAGATTGTTGAAGAAATATTTAACTAATTAATTTATTGAATGGTCATTAATATTATTTTATAATTAGTCTGTATTCCGATATTGTGTTTATGACAAATTTATAAAATACTAGCTGGCCTATTTCACCTGCGTACTTTGAACATAATGCTGAATAGAAAAAATATTCCCATTTCATGTCCGTTGTATGGTGACAACTTCATCGTGGATTTTATTAAACTTTGATTTACTTCCAAAACTTTCAAATGCTCGGGGACAAGGCCCTACTAAAATATCGAAATATTAACATGTAGAGTATTGTAATGGCCTTTCCCTTGTTTGTAGCTTGTTTATTACAGTGGATTTTGCGTGATGGAAGACGTACATATTTATAGTAGTGTTATAAGTATAACTTCTAACACTGTTAAATAGTTTTAGCAGGTAATTAGCCTGGTTTTACTTTCTAAAGGGAACTTCGCTCTACTGTATTACAAATGTTAAGGATTGTCGTATCAACAAATAGTTTTCAACGGTTGTTTGAAATGTCCAAATATATTTTCCTTAAATTCAAGGAATACGCTCTCCAACAGTAGACGATTGTTTAGAAACCTCTAGAGGCGCCTATGTGATAACAGCTGTGTTATCAGTGTCCTAATATCCGACAGTGGCTGGGGGCGGTCGTCATCTCATCGAACTGAAATAGTTTAGAACATGTTTTCATGGAACTGAAGAAGGATTCTTTCATTTTCAATATAACCTGTTACAAAATTAAAATTTGTCTTCACAAAAGATACTGTGTTTTCAGCTGTATTCTTTCTCATTTATCATTTATGGTACGATGAAATGTTTGATGTGGTGTTAGTAGTAAGTTGTGCTGTACTTATCATGTTCAATTTAAATTTAGTTATATCATACTAAAAACTTTCCCTTTTTGGTCCTTCGAGCTGGATTGAATACATTTTGTCTCTAAAAACTCAATACATGTTTATTGTTTTATTTTTTATTATTAGACATTTTCAGCATGGACTGTTAAATTTATCAGTAGACTTCAATGGTGAAGCGTGTATATATTAATACGTCCCTTGAAAATTCCCTCCGACACCTTAATGACGCCTCGACTGCTCAAAGCTGAAATATTTAAGGTGCGCCTTAAATCAAATTGTCACCTGACATGTACAATCTCACATGCTAAAACAATTTCCTCGTTGTGCAGTTCTTATGGTTGACAAAATCATGGTTCATTGAGGGTATAATATTTGTAATTTCCATACCTAGCCTTGAGAAAACATCGTCAGTGCTATTTCTACATCTGCAGGTAGAGACGTGAAAGGCTCTGGGTTCTTCAAACGGGGGTAGGTTGGTTCCGCATTTGCTACCTACACTAATCCGGGTCCCGTAGGGTGGGTTATAATCTGGTAGGTCAGTTCCGCATTTGACGGCTTTAACAATAGATCTCTTGAAATTGTAAAGATCAGTGAAGCGTACAAAAATGCCAGTCAACCGAAATAATCTATAAAAATAAGCAAGTTCTGAATGAGTTAAAGTTGAAGTAGCATGTTCCAGTTGTAACGATTTCTCTAGTTTTTTACCATAGCTGATGCAGATATTTCTTTCACCCATCCCAATCTTAAAGGGCGAAGATTATTATTGATTATTATTATATTGAAGATTATTATCCCAATCATTATTGTGAAGCCGCAATCTTAAAACTAAAAAAATCACATTACACCAGCTGCTGCTTAAATACGCTTATGTTACAAAATGCTAATAGCTCAGTTGGTAAACTAAACCTGTCACAGGAAAAACTTTAAACTTTGTAAGCATCTTATAACAAATTAAAAATATAAAACAGAACTAGTGTACATGTTGCTCGAAATCGAGCAGTTGTCTAGTACCAGCACTATAGAAGCTATATTAAAACTAGTAGTCATAATTTTCTATGAGTTTAAAAGACCCTATTAAAAGCGTATGCAACTAATGGAAATACATACGCATAGATACGCACAGATACGTATAGATACGCATGGATAATAACAGTTATAATAAACACGTCTTGTAAATATTGTATCATATTTCAGAAGCTGACCATGTTTTTACTGTTTTCGAAAAATGGTTCCCGTTTTACCCATAGCCGCATAAAGTGATACTGATTACAAATTGCAGTCATTTTTCTTAAAGAGTTATAACTATTCATCAAGTATTACTGATAACCTGCACTAACAGTAAAAAAATGCATAATCAAAGAGTATCTTGTGTAATGGTTTTATGTAAGGTCGTATGAATAATAACTCGTAATATTAAAAAATAATATTATTTATTTCTCTTTAGGCCTACCTTCAAGATGTTAAATTTACAAAAAGAACAAATACAATGAACATACAAAATACAATGAACATACTAAATACAATGAACATACAAAATACAATGAACATACAAAATACAATACAACGAAAAAATGAATATAAAATACAACGAAAGAGCATAATGAATGGTAAAATGAATGTATACATTCCAAAACATAAATAATAGCATTGAGTATACACGTACAACATATGATAATAGCATAGGAAAACTTGTTGTTAATGATAATTGCCCATACAACGTTTCTACGTACAACAATTCAAACTAAAAGTGAAAAGATACCATGTTGATGTATTGCATTCTAGTTAATCTTTTTGCTCGATATTGAGCAATCTTTTCATCAATAAATGCCTTCCTAAGTCTGGTCTTTCTTGAAAGCGTTCTACATCGGTTCCTACTGTTGATTGAAATGTATGTTTCAATTTGAACTTCCATCAAGCATTTTGAGAACAAAAAAATGTTAGGATGTGAAGTTGGACACGAGGCTTTCCATTTTGAGAGGAATCCTTCGCAGGAGTTAGTGGTTTTCCACAAGTATCTGTGCAGTATTATTACTAAATAGTCAAATCAGTATTATTACTAAGATCAATTTTGTTAACATTTATGAAACAGGTGATTTTCTTACATCCTAAACCTAAAATATGTAGAGTTTGTATCATTAATATTCCGAATTTCGAATCGGATACAAGCGTATCCAATCTTTGGATATTTAACTTAAATTTGTTCAATATTCATTCTACGTCGGCTTTTAGCTTGAGGCTAATTACCCTTGTCTAATGGAGTGTAACCCACCTTTGTCAATATAAATGCGGAAATAACCTACCTACTTAAGGGGCCCACCAGATTCAAATGCGGAACGAACCTACCCATTTATGGCCCTAGGGTCATTATCTGCGGAACTAACCTACCACCCTTCAAACTTCATAGCACCCCCCTCCTCTCTCACCTCTCACCAACCGACACTCCATTTGCTGATGCTAATATTTTTAATTTTATCGGCTAAAATAATAGTCTTATTGGATATTCTCATGCTAGGTCAACGCAATGATACACTTTCAGCAATCAAATCTTTCGATTTGTCCATAAAACCCTTGGCAGTAAGAAGATACCATGAGTGATATTTCCACTTCTTCCCCAAGGGGTTACATGAGTGCTCAGGGATTTGAAGACTCGTTTTCTTCGTCCTCCCATGTCAACCATCAGCACAATACTATTAAACAAGTTGTGCCTTTTAGCTAAATCATTTCTTCATTGAAAGATCCTCATGCTTATCTTTTGCTTCCATTTACAGTAGGAAAGTCAATTTGAATTTGCCATCACCCTTGACGCAAGTTATTTGTCCACCCTTGGCAAGTACAGTCGTGGATTCTGAAGGAGGTTTGCTCTGAACGTCTTGGATCCGTATGGCCCGTGGCGACTTCTCCCCCCGACTGTACGTCCGCGGCGTGGGAGGTAGGCCCGTCGTCTCGTCTGGCGCGGTCCGCGGCAGAGTGGAAGTTTCTTTGTTCAGTCGCTAGCTAGCGCCCGTCCGCGAGACATGATCTTTGTCGTCTAGTTTCCTAGTGAACGTCTTGTAGTGAATCTCACACCAGTACGTACGCCAGAATAGGAATGGTATTTACTAATTCGAGGTATGTGTGATTTTTGTTACGTTCGGAATTATTTTATTTCCTCTCTTTGACTTGAGTCTGTCCATTGTAGAATGATTTGTTCGTGTGATGATAGTAATTTAGGTGATTTATTGCTCTATGAATGGAATTAGTGTTGTGATTGTGGTTTTATTAGTTTCTTTGTTGTTAAGTGGAGTAATTTATTTTAATGCCCCTGTATTATATTTTGCTGTGATAGGGGCTCAGTTTTGTTGATGTATTATTTCGAACTGTAGTAATTTACAAGAATATATTATTTGATTGGAAAAAAAACATTTAATTATTTACTATTAAAATACACATTTTAATATATGTTTATGTTGTGAATAAAATTTTAACCAAACTGAAAAGTTTCTGTAAAAGTTATTTCCTTAATTACAGTCCAACTATAGTTTTCAATTCAATGAACAAACACACTATTTTGACGATGTTGACAAACAAAGACTTATGCAAAACGTGATTCACCAACTAAATGAATTACCATGGCACATGCACAAGTGATAATTATTTAGTGAAAGTGATGAGATTAATAATTATTACGAAAGCCTTCTTACTTCCATTCATACAAGCATTTAAGTAGATTTATTTATGCAAATGGCAAAGAAATTTAAAAGGAAACATTTTAGATGACATTGATCATATATGAAATATGTTAATACATAGTGTAGATTTTTCACCCATTTCTAAATCAAGTAACTTGTAACCATCAATGCTTGTATGGAAGATATGCATGGTGGCAGCCGATAACCCGGTAATCCCTAAATCCACCAACCATGTTTTTTATTAGAAGAAGGAACAAAGGAAATCTCATATTTAGACTGTTAAGAACTAAATAAATACAACACTCCATTGCAATGGTACATATTGCCTTTTTATGGATGTTTCATATAATTTATCAAATAACTAACCAGGAATTCAGCTACGGAAATCCTCGCAAAACGTAGACTCTATCGTTTGAATGTGCATTCCAAAATTTTATCATTGAAATCTCTTTATTAAATTTGCCTCCTTCATACAATTTTTCAGTTAAAAATGTTTTTTGCCTTGAGCAATTCATTGTAAAATTTTGTAAATTGTTAAAAGGCATAAAAATCAGGAAACAAACAGAGAAACATTGACAAGAAACATAAAGAAGTAAATTTTACACCCTGTTTGAAGAGCCTGGCCTTGAATCTCGTTCCATCAATTGTTTACTGCTCTTATCTACCGTGGAAGTATTGACTTTAGATATTTGTCATGGGCAAGTGCGAAGGTTGCGCTACTTTATGGGGTTGATACAGATTGTTTCGTGGCCACAGTTTGGCACGCTATATCGACGTTCCAGCGTTTAGCGTGGCTTTTAAGTAATTATATAAAACGTAACCAAGTTTTTGTTAACCTACCTATTTGTAGTTGAGGATATTACAACATGAATTTAACATGTGTGCAATACAATTATATCTCTTTTGTTTAAAACCACTAGGTAACACGACAAAATAATTCTATCCATTAGTTATCTAGAAGTTTTATTTTTTGCTCTATACTACAGTATTAGAGCATATTTCTGGTAGGTATAGATTTTACATTGAACTACGAAATGTATATAATTTTCAACGAAGACCCTTTGTTTTTGTTTGGTGGTTTATGGAAAACCATGCCATTTATTAATAAACGGGATTAGTAGTGACAGTTTAAAACTTTTGTGTGTCATAAAATATGTATCTTTTTCGATCGAAGTGGTAGTCGTAATTTGTTTTTCATTATTGTCGTTAAAATGTATTTAACGGACAACCCAATCAGATTTATAACACTAACCTATCCCAACCGTTATGAGACTGAGAAATTGAATGGAAATATACAGTATACAAAGGCGATAAGATAAGCTAAGAGATAACCAAGCCAACATAATGTTTAATGGCTGGAAGGCTACAGAACATTCACAGTGACCTACATAATTACGTTTATTATTGTTATTGGCTCAATCAATCATATCATTGTATAGTTTATGCGTCAAGAGTAAACAATCTAATCTAAATTATGAATTAGAATGAAACACTAAAACAAATCTGACACTATTTTTGTTTACGTCATGATAACATTGTTAAGTAGACAATCTTTGTCAACACAAGATTGGACGGATTTAACATAATTACTTGGTATTATGTTATTATTATACGGGAAAATACGTTTTGGAAGTAAAACAGATATTAATTGAGCACACGAATGACGAACCAGAGATTGTATGAGCAAAGTCAAACGTTGATAGTAAACAATAAATATGTAACTAATTATTTGATACTTAGGCATACTGTACATATTTGTGGACAGATATGGTTATAAGTATAGCTGTAACTCATTACAGTATTTGAGACTAAGACATACTGTACATGTTTGTGGACAGATATGGTTACCAGTATAGCTTTAACTGATTACAGTATTTGAGACTTAGACATACTGTAGGTACATTTTTTTAGACAGATATGGTTAACAGTATACTGTAACTGATTATTTGAGACTTAGACATATTGTACATGTTTGTGGACAGTGATGGTTACAAGTATAGTTGTAACTGATTATTTGAGACTTGGACATACTGTACATATGTTTGTGGACAGATATGGTCACCATTATAGCTGTAAGACTATTAGATACTTGTACATACTGTACTGTACATGTTTGTGGACAGATATGGTTATAAGTATAGCTGTAACTGATTACAGTATTTGAGACTTAGACATACTGTACATGTTTGTGGACAGATATGGTTACCAGTATAGCTTTAACTGATTACAGTATTTGAGACTTAGACATACTGTACATGTTTGTGGACAGATATGGTTATAAGTATAGCTGTAACTGATTACAGTATTTGAGACTTAGACATACTGTACATGTTTGAGGACAGATATGGTTATAAGTATAGCTGTAACTGATTACAGTATTTGAGACTTAGACATACTGTACATGTTTGAGGACAGATATGGTTACAAGTATAGCTGTAACTGATTACAGTATTTGAGACTTAGACATACTGTACATGTTTGAGGACAGATATGGTTATAAGTATAGCTGTAACTGATTACAGTATTTGAGACTTAGACATACTGTACATGTTTGAGGACAGATATGGTTATAAGTATAGCTGTAACTGATTACAGTATTTGAGACTTAGACATACTGTACATGTTTGAGGACAGATATGGTTATAAGTATAGCTGTAACTGATTATTTGAGACTTGGACATACTGTACATGTTTGAGGACAGATATGGTTATAAGTATAGCTGTAACTGATTATTTGAGACTTGGACATACTGTACATGTTTGAGGACAGATATGGTTATAAGTATAGCTGTAACTGATTACAGTATTTGAGACTTAGACATACTGTACATGTTTGAGGACAGATATGGTTATAAGTATAGCTGTAACTGATTACAGTATTTGAGACTTAGACATACTGTACATGTTTGAGGACAGATATGGTTATAAGTATAGCTGTAACTGATTATTTGAGACTTGGACATACTGTACTGTACATGATTGTGGACAGTGACGGTTACAAGTATAGCTGTAACAGCGTCTATGAACGTATCACATAACTTTCGCTATGTCAGACGGTCACATTTCCTATTCTGTTACGAATACATGAATGGCTTTGTTCATCAGACATCTGATAGATTGCTTGACCTTCACTCTCATGTGTCTATATACTGAGTGTCTATAAGACATAATACAAAGTATTCAACGTTATATGTTCGTATTCATATTCGTCTTTAATCACTATTTGTTCCTACGAATGGTTTTGTTTGATAATGAAAACCCCTTGTATCATTACTTAGAAAACAGGACAAAGAAGGGAAAGGTCAGTGCTAAATTACAAGAGAGCTGTCGGTGTAAATCTTTACAGGCTTTATTGAAGGGTCAAAGAGTTTTTGTTCATATTTCAAACAGTATCAATTAGGGCTTGGTAAAGGACAAAGGAATAGAAGGGTATCACTATCGATTTTTTCATTCATTTTGTTCTTTTGTATGGATACATATTTTAAAACTGAAATAAACTATAGTAACATATTTATTAGATTTTAATAATTGATCCTTTGCGTAAAAAAAATTTTCAGTATTGTGAAGGGATAACACGGATTCATTGATTTATTTAACTTTAGTTTTTTGTACCTGATATTGTTATACTTTATTAATTGCTAAATAAACAAAAACTCTGATACTAAGCGTCGCAAAGCTCTCATAGAGAAATAACCTTTTTTACTCCACATTCTATCACATGAATTGTTACAAGTGAGTCCAATTTCATCCAAAACCCTTTCAAATCTCTATACAATCCCTTTATCTCTCTATGGGATATCACTCAATCCCCGCATTAATTCTCAGTGCCGATATAACCCCGGATATACCTCACTCCGCTCACATACAGTGTATGTTGTTTTATTTTATACTCTGTGTAAGACGTTGGCAGCACTGACAGTGACGTCACTTGTACACATACAAGCGTGACATGTGGCTCTTGGTTTTATAAACGGCGGCTATATATAGAGACAGCTGCATCCAGCCTCTTCCTTTATTTCTTCCAGTCTCCCGCCATTCCTCGCCCTCTTTCCCTCTCTTTCTACCGACACCTGTTTGTTGGGCAAGTGTCTGAAGGTCCCGGCCAACAACCCAACCCTCGGCCTTGTAACCAAAAAATCTTGGGGATGAAATATGCCTTCGTCCTCCACAGATCAGTTGATTCTCCGGTATTTCCTAGCGTTCAAGCATAGTGCGTTGTTATACAGCCTCGCTTTTGTTATCAGTGGTTGTCATATTAATAAAAGTTTGGATCCGCTCCATTTCCTGGAAGTGATAAGGGACACCATTTCTTATCTTGTTCTCTTCCTGCAAACCAATGTGTACATGACTACACAACCGTTTCCATTAAACAATTTCCCTGAATTGTAATTATTCAGTTCTATTCCAGTAGAGTTTGCTAAATATATAAAGGTGTTTCCC